ATTGAAATGGCTTTAAAAAGGGTTGAAAGTGATTGCCTATGATAAGTAAATTTTTAATTGCAGTGCCAACTTAAACTGGTTCTGCTTGCACTGAAAAACCATGTCAATAGTATTATTTTCTTACCTTGACCTCAAAATCCAATTTAACGTGCTCAAATATTAGTTCGTCTTTAATAACAGAAGAATAAATATTCCTTATCAGCTGGAATGGTCTTATATAAGCTGCACCGAATCTTCATTACGTTTAAACTTGCAACAGTTTCGCATCCACCATGTTCGAACTAAAGATTTTACTTTCGTTACTATTTATCAGTTGGTCCTGCGCCCAACAGCAGTGCACTAGGTTCTATGATTTGATCCCGGGAAGAACGATTAATATAACCAGTTTTAATTACCCCGGTGCTATACCAAGTGGCAGTAACTGTCGATTTCGCTTGAAAGCGCCCAGTAATCACGCGATCTATTTGAGCTGCCGCTTTGAGTTGGTAAGTACTGTTCTAGAACTTAAACTATACCTAGAATATTACTTTAAAATGGTTCTCTCGTTTATACAACTTTGATCCCGTTCCAACCATAACTGAAATTAGTTTCCTGACACCTGTGGCTCGGAGTTTCTGTTCATCTCCCGCGATGGCGACTTGCAGTTCCGCGATGGCGAACGGTACTGCCGCATGGGCCAGGTCAATCGGATGTCCAACTTCCAGACCATGGCCTTCGCCTACTATTCCAGCAGTCCGCAGACTCAGCAGCGATCCAGACTCAATTGCCAGGCGGTGGCTCGTCCGGCGCCCTGCGATTGCGGCTGGTCCCTCCCAAATCGCATAGCCAACGGAGTGGAGGGGGGGAAGCACGAGTTTCCCTCGATGGTGGGCCTTAGGGATCTCGCCTCCAACCTGCCCATCTTCTGCGGCGGCAGCATAGTCAGCGAGCGGTACATCATGACCGCTGCCCACTGTACCGCTCGCCAACCAGTGGCCAGTCGCCTATTGGCGCTGGTCGGGGAGCATGACTTGAGCACGGGTGAGCAATTTGCACAGTGTGTTGTATTTGGAATTTTTAGAGTACTAATACTGGAGGCGTCATCACTCGTAGGTGGCGAATCAATCTATGCGGCGCAGTATCGCATCCAAAATATCATCAACCATCCTGGCTACATGGAAACTGCATCGGGCAATATAAATGACATAGCCTTGCTTCAGACGACGACGCCAATGGAATGGTCTCGAGGAGTGGCGCCCATATGTCTGCCCATTCGACAGGCGTACGTGTGGCTTTCTTATCCAAAGTCATGGAATCTTAAAATGTTGTTTTCTTACAGGGAGAGCAGCTTCAGCTACCAGAACGTGGACATCATGGGCTGGGGAACCCTGGGATTCGCCGCCTCCAAGTCGAACACCCTGCAAAAGGCCACCTTGCTGACCATGGACAACGCCGTCTGCCAAAGTCGTTTCAACTCCAGCGTAGCTCCCAGCCACCTCTGCACCTACGATGCGGGAGGCAGGGGCCAGGACTCGTGCCAGTACGACTCCGGCGGTCCGGTGATCCTGCGTCAGCGGGAGCGGATGTTCCAGCTGGGCGTGATCAGTTTCGGCCGGGCCTGCGGTCAGCCCTTTGGCATCGGTGTCAACACTCGGGTCACTTCGCACCTCAACTGGTTGTGGCGCTACGTAGGCGGATCTGTGTGTGTGCGTTAAGGACATGCGTCGGATGACTGGCCAAATCTGTGCACAGAGAAAAACAATATTGACCATGAAATTAACTTAACCATATATTGTTACCAGCATGAATTCTATATATTGTGTACATTTATGAATTTAACATATGACTTCAATGTTTCATTAAAAAAGGGGAACAGAATTTTCATACTATGAAATTACCGTGGGCGTGCGAAAAGAAATTTAAGACTTTTATTCATACATCGCTAGAAATCAAAAAGAAATTAACGGGCAGACGGACAGAAGAACGGACAGACGAACGGACAGACGAACGGACAGAAGAACGGACAGACGAACGGACAGAAGAACGGACAGACGAACGGACAAACAAACGGACAGACGAACGGACAGAAGAACGGACAGACGAACGGGCAGAAGAACGGACAGACGAACGGACAGAAGAACGAACAGAACAACGGACAGACGAACGGACAAACGAACGGACAAACAAACGGACAGAAGAACGGAGAGACGAACGGACTGAAGAACGGACAGACGAACGGGCAGAAGAACGGACAGACGAACGGACAGAAGAACGGACAGACGAACGGACAGACGAACGGACAGAAGAACGGACAGAAGAACGGACAGAAGAACGGACAGACGAACGGGCAGAAGAACGGACAGACGAACGGACAGAAGAACGAACAGAACAACGGACAAACGAACGGACAGAAGAACGGACAGACGAACGGACAGACGAACGGAGAAACAACGGACAGACCAAAGGACAGACCAACGGACGGACCAACGAACAAACCGACGGACAAAAGACGGACATGGCCAGATCAACTGGGGTAGTGATTATGATAAAAAAAAATATAACTTCTTCTTAGTCACCTAGAATGAATTTATTCCTTTATTTTTTGTCTATTTTTTTATACTAATGTAAATGTTCATAAATATTTTATGCACAAAATATCTGCGAAATACCAAACTAATTAAATGTCCTAATAAAACATAGTTGGATAAACATATGCTGATTTCATTAGATACATTTAAACAGCAAACAAGCTTTTATTCGCTATGAACAATTGCTAGTGCTCCGCATTTTTCCCAGTGCACACGCATATTTTAGACATATACATAGTTCCTCAGAGTCATTCCTTGCCCGACCTCCTTGCACTTTCTTCAGGCATTTGTCAGCGCTGTCTTGAGTTTGGTAAAGTGTTGACAAAGGCCTTAATTTGCATTTAAATTAAAAAGCAGTGACATGTTTCTGCCTACATCTAAACAACGAACAAGTTCGGCATCCCCGCACTTACCAATCATACCCCGCTGGCCATCAAGAACCGCCAGGCGTAGCTCTTTGTGTGCAATAAAGTTTTATCACATACCCTATCTGGATATGGCTGGCACTATTAGTTCACAGTATAACCGAGTATTCGATCAAAGCTACACACGATATATGTGCAAGTGAAAAATCTGTTGCTAGCACAGCAGAAATAATTTGAAATCAGTTGGGTCACAACATTGGTTTTTCCGAACTCAAAGTAAAGATTTTCAAAAGAGGGAAAGCGTACAGGGTTTTCACAGCCTTCACAGTTTTCGTGTGTATTTCGGTATTTATTGTAAAATTGCTTTACTCATAATTGTTGTTGTAATTGTGGACTAACTCAATTTCATGTCTCGCTGTTGTTGTTGCTTCCATTTGGAAATTGCGTTAAATTCGTACCAGGACTTATCAGGCCACCAAAGGACCTCGCACCACTGCAGCTGATGCAAAATTAATAAATGTTCATGTGACGAAGGCAAATTGTGTTTTTGGTGTATGATTTTCATTTTGGCTTTGTTGTTTAATTTGCCTGAAAGTCTCAAGTCGCAATCAAATTGAATTCCTTGTGGCTGTAAATAAATTATGATATTTTCTTTCGCAGCACACATATTCTTTCTGCCTTGTCTATTCAGTGAGAAATCGAAAACTAAATTGGCCGAGCACAGTAAACATTTGTTTTAGTGTCAGTGTTTTACGAATACTTCAACAGACGACTTGTTGTGTATTTCATTTTAGAAATAGTTTTCCCCTAAAGATAACCAAAATTTGCTTTCCCAAGCGCCTTGCTTTTATCAATTTAAAATTTTAGTGGATCCAATTTTGGCCGAGGAATCTTGAGTCTTTACACAAATTAGCCGCTTTATCAGAAAATTTAGGGGAACCAGACAAGAAAAGATGCCATTCTTTGCCAAAAACCTGCCATCCATTCGCCACCTGGCCAAGCGCAGCTTAACCGAGGGGCGACGCTCACTGACCACCATATCGGGCCTGGAGAAAGGTCAAAACAGCGCAGTCCAAAGCTCAAGTCCCTGGTCCAAGGACTGGCCCGTGAGAGAGGAGTCTTATGCGGCAGTCCAGCTTCTCCGCCAGAGGCAGCAGAACCGCCGGTGGAGCAACAACTACTCTGGCCTGGACTCCGCCATGTTCCGACCCGTCGCCAAGCCGGATGAGATCGTGCACCGCCGCAACAATGTGGTGGCCGCCCAAAACGCGGCCAGGAGGCGGAACTACAAGTCAGCGCAGGTGCCCCAATACGACGACATGAGGCAGGACCAAAGGAGGCAGGAGGAGGGGCAGCGACTGGGCGGCGAACCAGAGGCCAAGGCCGAGGAGGCCGTGGAGCCCGACTACGAGTCGGATCTGGAGGTTCGATCAGTACGGGAGACTGTATTCGGGCCGGCGGAGGACAACTCGGAAGAGGAGATGGATCGCGCCCGTGCTGAGCAGGAGCTTCTCCAACGCGTAGCCGTCGCCTCCAGGCAGACGGATCGTTTGCCGAGTAGCGCCTCCATTTCCCGGAAGGTCATCTCGCCATACAACTCCTACCGCAGCCATCGCACCCGCTGGGCGGAGTTCCGGCACTGCATGATCTTCGGCCGCACGAGCTACTGAGCCAAGGTTAAGGTTTTCCTTATCCGTCTCTCTTTCAGGGAGTGTGAAATTCAGGAACAAATACAAAATTCGGTCTCCAAAATTAATTTATGTGGTATATATTATTAAAGTCTGCAATGTGCTTTCACTTGTTCGTGGAGAGTCGTCTAACAGGCTAGAGGAACCCTATGAAGTATATGTATTTGGCCATGCTCGTCCATGGGAGTGAAAATAGCGGGTATCTGATAGTCGAGGCAAGGACTTCCGCAAAATGAAAACCAATTAGCTTCGAAGAAAAACATCAATTAGCTACCATTGATTTTAATATTTGGAAAACAATGAATCTCAGTTAGCAAGCATCTATTAGCAAGCATTGGTTTTTAATTTTTTGAAAAACAATGAAACCCAGTAGTCTTTCCGGCGAACATCCCAAAAACCTGGGACTTCAAAATTATCCAAATTATTCATACTATTGAGCCATGATCAAGATTCTAAGGAGCCTGTCAGCCAGAGGCCTCCAGCTCGCCAGGAGACTCCATACGCGACCGCAGCTCTGCCAGGAGCCCGGCGTCTTCGTCCATCCGGAGCTGCGTCGCACCATTCCCCTCGTCTACTTCAGCAAAGGGGAACTGCCGCCCAGACGGCATCAAGAAGTCCCATGCAACCGGCAGTGCCAGATATCTGCCTTGGAGAGGAATCGAAGATGCACGGAGGCCTTCCATCAGTTTTGCAGTAGGCAACACAAATGCTTTTCCAGCACCTACCAGTGGGCAGAGTTCCGGCGAAAGTTGATCTACGGCAGTTACTAGCGTGGAGCAGCCCAGCTAAAACTAAATCCATCGAAAGACTCTTAAATATCCATTAACTCCAGCACTGTGGCCTAAAAACTGTTTTGTTCTGATCCGACTCGCCAGCCAGGTCAAAACAAGAGCGTTTTTAAGCCACAATGCCAGGTTCAGTACCAAATGCATGGCTGAGTTCGAGCAATAATACAGGATGACATGGGAAACGAGGCGCAATGTATTTCTTCATTTTCCTGCAATCATATTTCTTCATTTGCAATATTCTTGGACACAATAGTGTATAGCTTGGGTTTCCCGCTCCTGCGTCCAGTTTATTATTATCCCAAGTATCCTTAACCCTTTTTGCTACTTAGCACGCAGGTTTGCTCTCGAAAACTAGCGACATACTTTGGCTACGGCGCATCCTTCTGATCGGAGGAGCACTGGGTGCAAAAGTGGCAAAGCAAAGAATGGAGAGAGGCACCAAGTGCACTCAAGTAATATGCTTCATAATTTTTATTGTCAAGCCCTTTTCTTTTGGCTCGGGTGGCCGGGTGGCACTCGACAACAAAAGCTGAAAGCGCTTGGGAAAAATGTGAAATAAAAAACGACTGTGAAAAGCAAAGGCAGAAAATGAAGTGCACCGGGGGTGGGGTGGGGGCGATGTTGCTGCTGCTGGTGGCAGAGACAAGAGTGCAACAAAGCAGAGCGGGTAGCATAAATTTTATAATATAGAAAAAATCAATGGGCAACGGGGCACAAAAAATGCAGAGCAGCAAGGATTACAGTCCGGAGCTGGACTGCCGAGGGTCCTGCAGCCACTTTTTATTCAAAGCACTGTCCTACTGGACGGCACTCGGAAAAAAGAGTGGCAACAAAAGCTAATTAAGAAACTATGCTCGCTAAGTAATATTATTTGTAACTTTGTATATTATATAGTTTACCCCAAGCAAGTTACGCCTTTCCCCCGCTTTTAAGTATTTTATATTCCCTTTGCATACATTAGTGTATCTATTTTTTCCGTGTTGCCCCATTTGAATCCTGCTCCTCGCTTCAAAGCTGCACAATTAACTTGGCCCGCAAATGCTGCTCCCATTGTTGCCAGTTAATTTTGATGGATTTTGTATTGCTTGCTGCAAATTTGCATTTCACTGCACTTGGCCGCGTAATTAGGCGCACAACTCTTCCACGGCTTTGATGTGCCGTCCTGCGAATTGGGCTAAGTAAGGACGAGTGCCAAGGGCCTTAATTGCTTAATTATGTTTTGTGCTTTGGTCTCGAGTACTGCAATGCGACAATTGCTCAAAAGGGAACGGACTCAAATAATGTTACATTATCATATTTGAAGTTAGCCCAAGGAAAGTGAATCGTATGACAGGCACATTTAGCTGCTAAATTGTTTTTAGTAGAATTAGGTGTGAGGTGCATTTTTAACCCAGTCAGCCTAGAGTCAGCTTTTGGAAACACATATCGTTTTACTTTTCTACGTTCTCTTTGACAGCCAAACAAATACAATAGGAAAGTCATAAATTTACATTCCCTCCTTTCGGCCAATCCTTTAAGCTATAAATCGCTACCCTACAGTACAACTGCCATCCAACTTAGGCCTACCAATACCGGCGGTATACGGACCACCAAATTACAGGCAAATCCGACTAGTTTCATCCCCTACCCAAATGCTGCCAACCAATAGAAACCTCGCGGCCCTACCCGCCTATGTCCGATGGGCGGTCCAGCTGGCCACGTCCCGGATAGGTGGAAGATTCGCCCACTCGACGCGCCGGAGCCAGGGCGCTGGGGATCCGAAGAAGATCGACGAGCACCTGTGCCGCCAGCGGGATGAGCCCAATCCGGAGTACCACCATGCCCCGCGATGCTTCGTGAAGAACTTCCATAAGTACCAGGAGCAGGCGCAGGATCGCGGAGAGCTGCAGACGACCCGCTTCCGCAATCCGCGATACCGCTGGGCGGACTTCCGGCGACGAATGGTTTATGGAACCTACGACATCTAGACGGTTTCTCTTGATGCTCCCTGCAATCACCTTTCGTCCGGACTTGTCTTGTACGAGTATTACCCACCAATCGATCCATAACGAAGTATCCAAACCCATATGCATATTGTAAAGTAGTAAGAATTTTGTGGCCAAAAACGGATCCAGCTCGGATGTCCGCTCAAATTTCAATATAATTCAGCACAGAATGCAACAATCCGTTTCACTTACTGTGTTAACTTACTCCTGTCAGCATTAACCAGACTTTTGTTCGCCTTTTTCCTGGCATGAAGGCTCACAATTAAGGGCACTTTTAGAACTATCTTCCTTAGAACTGCGAGCATGCAGATCTCTAGATCGATCCGTAATCTATGAGCTATGACCCATTTGATGGACCTCATGTTTAATAAGGATTGGCAACCAGATTATATTCACGGAAGCTTACTTTGGTCTATTTTCAACTCATCGGTATATACAAGGAAATGGAAGTCAAAATTAAAACTTTGATTAGCAGCTGGCTTTTCGCGATGAAGCATATTTCATCCCATTCATTTACAGCAAAACCGAGCTCCTCTCAAAAATATTAAGCTTTATTTACGTTCATTATAAAATACTTAAAACATGCTCTTCCACTTAAACGCTATCACCCACACTCACGGCTTTGAACCCGGGTCCAAAGCCAGCGGATCCGCATCTGCCATGTCCGCGAATCGCTCCGTGTCCGAGAACGGACGATGCGGCATTCGCAGGATATTGATGAAGAGGGTGCGGTGGGGCTGGAAACTTAGCTCGTCCGTAACTCGCATGATATCCCTCCCGTAGTCGGCGTCCATGTGGCGCAAGTTCAGGAAGCTCTTGACCAGCAGGAAGGGCGGCCTCTTCAGATCGGTCCACGAACTCTTACGCTCCTGGAGCTCCACGGGCACTGGCCTGCGATGCAATGGGAGCCTGTGCTCCGACATTCGTCGCCTCTGCTGGAGCCGCGCCTTGCCCTCGAATATCGGGAATCCGATGAGAACCCGACCTGGGAACATTGTGCGATAGGTGGATGCGTTACTGAAATACTTCTAAAATTTAGGTTGGCCAACGTAAGTAAAATAAACTTCTCATAGTTTTCATTTTAGGAGTGTATCTAACGGCCTACTACATGCTATCTGGATAACATTTTTACCATTAATTAATACCCACAATGCAAATCTCATACAAATAAGTCGGTATATTACCATTCCATAATAGCAACTTGCAAAAAATGACGCTTCAAGGCGAAAACTATATTTGTACAACAGTACTTTTTCCAAAACCTTTTAATTTAATGACGATTTAGCCATGCAAATCAATGGCAAAGTCCAGGAAGTGTATCATCTCTTCGCGTTCTTCCAGTTTGACATAAAAAAGTCCCTAAGATCACGAGGAGCACCCTGCATATAAACAGAGTCCAGATGATGGAGGGCCAAGAAGCTCTTCACCAGAATACGGGGTGGTCGGGCTGACTGCGCTGGGGTCTTAATCCTTGCGTCGGGAACCACCGGAAATGGTCGCCTCGTCCTCCTCTGATGCAAACTCCTGCTCCGGGAAAGTTCAAAGAGTAATGGAGCTCGAGTTAAAGACATCATGGCTGAGGTTTCGCGGCTTAAAAAATACGTTTACTGGTATTTCAAATTTTATGGGAGCCAAAATAAACTGGGGTTTCTGATTTTATTAAAAATGCCTACTTCTCGTACGATGAAATTTGTGTTGTGATCGACTTAAAACGTATTTTCCTATGGTGTTTAGTTAAATAATTTCGCTAGTTGGTATTGTTAAAAAAGCACTGTGGAAACTTGGTGAGGCTAATGCCTTTTAATTTCGATTTTGAATCTAGAAATAAAATTGTTTCACATACTCGATTTTCCGATTTTTGCATTTTTCGATTTTTCGATTTTTGTGATGTAAATGGATTTAATTGGCCCAGTCGTGTGTGCAGGGGATACGTGCCGAAAAAAAGTGCTGTGTACTAATTTCTGACCACAAACCGAATTTACTTGTGAGGGCCAGCAAAACATTTTGCTAGCTGTTCCGAAAAGCATATTCTTGCGAACATGTTCTAGAACACAAAGTGCAGATTTCCTTTGATTGGCAGTATTGGGCCCATATTTAATATGCAGAGCAGCTCCTTTAGGGATCTGCATTTTGTAAGACAGAAATAGTTTGCTGGAACTGTGCATGTGGGTCGGCCATTTTGTATTTTCATTGCTGGGGCTTTGAGCGACGACGATTTGGCGGCTTTTGTGCAACGCGTGGTTTTATGTAACAGACCCCAATCCCTAGTCCGCGAAAATCCCTCTCCCACATGCCCGCAAAACGTCAATTGCATGAGCCGGCACGTCGATATTTTTGCCAATTTTTTAGCCGGCCTCTCGCAAATTGCTTTTTGAGCTTGTTAGAGTTTTTGGCCCTCATCCTGTGCAGCCGCACCCGCACTCGCACAGATACAGATACAGACACACACACACACACACACAGCAGCATGCACGCTAATGAATAGTCAAAGTCCAGGCGATTGCAGCAGTTGTAGATGCAGCAAAACGAGAACTAAACGCAATGTTTAGGCCGCATTACGACTGCAAGCGGAGCCAGAGGTCCTGCAGGTCCTGCAGGTCGTGCAGGAGCAGCCAGGATCCGGACAGCCGCCATTTTGTAATCAAATGCAGCACAAAAGTATGCAAAGGAAATTGCCAGAAAAAAAGCACCAAGTAAAAAGCGCTGTGCGCATTGGCTTTCTTCGTACAGTGGACACTCGCAGGATGGTTCAAGTGGGCATTCCGTTAGGGCTTGGAACTGAAATGATCCCTTTTTCACCACAATCTGCAGTGGGTAGTAGAATTACTTTTTTGTAACCAATATATGCGTTGGTTGCCCGAAAAGTAAGTAAGTAAGTAAGTAACCCCAAGTTCTTCTTGAATTCTTTTGATTTCTTCATTGTATCTCTTCACAACGCTCGTCTTCAATTCGAGCAGATGCTAGCCAGCTCTTCTACTCTCGGATGAGATGAGCCCTTTGCTTCCGGATTAATCAGAGTTATTACATGTCTACTGTAGCATTGCGCTCTAAACCCAATCCCTTGGCAGCCCTTTAGCGCCGGCTGCTGTTAGTGGCTGCTGCTTTTCAATTAGTGCCACCAGAGTAGGAAAGCACCCCAGCACCCCAGCCACCCACCACGCCCCCGAACACAACCCCTCCACGCAGCAGCGCCCATTTCTATGCGGAGCCGCCAATCCCTGGCAGCACTTGATGCCACCGACTGCAGTTGACGTGGGTTCGCTCTGTTCTGGCCGCGTTTTAGGTAAATTGAACAACAGGCTTGCAAGGCAGCGGGCACCCGAAACTGCAAAACTGCAAAACTGCAAAACAAACACGGCCAATACACTGCAACAGCTCGGAAGTGCAGGCGAGCTTAGCCAGACAGACGAGCACAAAACGCGCCGAGGGTGGAGCATTGAAAAAGTGCAACGCCAGTGCGGGTTAGACAAAAAACAGGTCCTCGAGAAAAGCGAGTAAAAAGACGCGGCCGCCAGACGAGTGCCGCATTCAGTATTGCCTTTAAGCCTAAAAGCGAGCTCCATCTGTTATGCGAAACGTTTAATTATTTATCTGAAAGGAAGATCCCGGCTGGCGGGGAAAATAAAGCAGCTGAATGGATTTTATTGACATGCCCCCATCCGGGCGACTGGCGGGTTATAGGTTGCAGGCAATCGCCGCCCCGAGGTTAATTAGTTGACATTTGCGCTTAATTGCAACGCCTCGGGCGCAGGACATAGAGCTCCAGCCAGGCGTTCCATTCGCATGCATGACAGCCGAGCCGAGTGGAGGCCTCATCCATCCACCTGATGGAGCTGATATTTGCGTATTGATGCCAAGCGCGTTCGGGCAGAGCGGCAAACTTGACACCCACTCAAAAGTGTTAAGTGGCTCAGCACTCAGCAGCCGGGTATGGTGGGAATTTCTATGACAGATCTTCAATACAGCAGGAAAAACGCAGAACTGATAGCACCACTATGAAATCACTCAAATCAACTATTGGAAATCATTTGATTTTATTCTAAATACATTCATTTTGCTAGGAACATTCCGGAAAAGTCGTCCATCTATTGTAGTTATTCCAATAATATTCCCACAAAGTTTTAAGTACACTGCACTGAAAAATTCAAGCTTCGTCCATCTATTGTAATTATTCCAATAATATTCCCACAAGTTTTAAGTACACTGCATTGAAAAATTCAAGCTTCGTCCATCTATTGTAATTATTCCAATAATATTCCCACAAGTTTTAAGTACACTGCATTGAAAAATTCAAGCTTCGTCCATCTATTGTAATTATTCCAATAATATTCCCACAAAGTTTTAAGTACACTGCATTGAAAAATTCAAGCATCGTCCATCTATTCCAATTATTCCAATATTATTCCAATAATATTCCCACAAAGTTTTAAGTACACTGCATTGAAAAATTCAAGCTTCGTCCATCTATTGTAGTTATTCCAATAATATTCCCACAAAGTTGTAAGTACACTGCATTGAAAATTCAAGCTTCGTCCATCTATTGTAATTATTCCAATAATATTCCCATAAGTTTTAAGTACACTGCATTGAAAATTCAAGCTTCGTCCATCTATTGTAGTTATTCCAATAATATTCCCACAAAGTTTTAAGTACACTGCACTGAACAATTCAAGCTTCGTCCATCTATTGTAGTTATTCCAATAATATTCCCACAAAGTTTTAAGTACACTGCATTGGAAAATTCAAGCTTCGTCCATCTATTGTAGTTATTCCAATAATATTCCCACAAAGTTTTAAGTACACTGCATTGAAAAATTCAAGCTTCGTCCATCTATTGTAGTTATTCCAATAATATTCCCACAAAGTTTTAAGTACATTGCATTGAAAAATTCAAGCTTCTAGACTTGTCTCTACTAAAAAACGACCTCGCAGATCAACTTACGAGATAGTTTTCTTTACAACCCCCTTGATTACACATTAATCAACATTTTCGTTCCGCACAAAAACTTCCTAGGCTTATATATACCCATAAATCAGAATAGTGGCTGGCGCTATGTCCTGCCAGGACAATAGGCCACCTCGGGGCTTTTGATCCGGATCCACTTGATGAAGGAGGCGACGCGAGTGTTGACCGATGGCCGCTGGGCGGCGCAGGCCTGGCCAAAACTGACGATGCCCACGGCCACCAGGCGTCCGTTGATCCGCTCGTACAGAGCTCCGCCCGAGTCATACTGGCAGGTGTCCCGTCCGGGCGTGAATGTGCAGAAAGTGTGGGTGGGCAGTCCGCCGGCGGAGCTCAAGGCCTGCCTGCACCGCTTACCGTCGATCACATCCAAGGTGGCCTTGAGCAGGCGATGGGTCTGTGGCCCGCCGTAGGAAGTGGTTCCCCACCCGGCGGCCACCACCTGGTGACCCGTCAGCGGCAGCTTCCGGCCATCCTCCGCCGGTTGCAGTGGCAGGCAGGCGGGACCCACGTGATGGCTCCACACGATCGGCGTTCGCGTCCTCAGCAGGGCGATGTCGTTCCTCGGCTGGCCACTTGCCTGGCTGAAGTCCTCGTGCAGCATCAGGGCGTCAAGGTCGTAGCGCCGGGTGGCGAACGTCTCGAAGGAGCTGGCCAGGTCGTGCTCCCCCACCACCACCCGCAGCTTGGCAGCACTGTTCGTCTCCGGACCCTGAAAACAGTGCGCGGCCGACAGCAAGTACTGGTGATGAACTGCAACGAATACACCGAAGATTTGATACCTTGGTTAAGAAAGTCCCTTTCAAGCGCTTGAAATATTTTCAAATCCTAATGGTTTTTAAAAATACAGTTCCAGCAAACACTTCAGCTAGCTTGAGTATGTATTTCCATGTTTATAATCCCCAATCGGCAGACTATGGCTCCAATGGATGGATCTGTTAAAACTGGACATTATGTCTATGGTTCTATTGAACTAAAGGGCGTTCAGCCAATTATATATCTCCCGTTTGGTAATGAAATATTTGCCAAGCTGTCGACTATACGGCTCCCATAGGTAATAGTCCCGGCTGTCTACGACTAGCCAAATCCATCTTATCTTTCAGAATTAAGGTATATTATTGCCAGTTCTAACTTGCCAGTCACAGAAACAACTTTCTACTAGATAGAGCCTGTGATTCTTCTAATCGAAGTTAGTACATTTTAGATATGCACATTTTTTGCAGGAATAAGATTTCCATTCGCATCCTTTAAGTTCCCCTTCCCAGTTTTCACGCGGGTACTTACTGATCGCAGCGCCGCAGAAGACCTTTCCGTGCTTTTTGGTCAGGACACCGGCCATGGGCGGGAACTCGTGCAGTTCGGCCTCCTCGTTGGTGGGACTGGCAATCCGGGGAATGCGGCTCCAGCCGCAACTGCACGTGGGCAGAAAAGCCTCCACGAGGCAGGAGAAGCGTCCTCCTCCGTGGCCGGGCGATGGGGCAGGTGGGTAGCTGGAAACAATCCGAGCACGTTTTCCGGAAGTCTTTGAACTGCTGCGAATTGGCAACTTGTCAAGGTAAATAGTAGTGCTGGACTTTGAGGGCTCTTCGGCGTCGTAGAGTAAGGAGGCCACATAGGCCAAGGCATCGCTGACGCCCACATCCTGCAACACGTGCAGCACCTCGTCACTGAGGTCCTCGTTGGCTCCTTCTGGCTCCTCTGGCTCCTCTGGCTGCTCCTCGTCATCGACCTCCTCCGCATCCGGTTCCTCTATGGAAACAGCTTGTGGTGCCTCGGTAGTTGTGCTCGTAGTTGGTACCGTGGAAAGCTTATCCTTTAACTTGACGGCTGAGGGCGGCTCCGAATGTCCATTCGATATGTACGAAATCACCGCGCGATTGAGAAAACTTTTGCGCTCGAATTTTCCGCTGCCGCAAAAGTATTCGGAACTTGTTAACACCTCGTCGCCCTCCGAATTGAAGTGAAACACCTCCGGGCGGCATTTGAGGTCCGTGGAAAGCTGCAGGGATCAGGGTGAAACATGGCAGTGATTAAAATTGACGATAGCTATGTCTACTCCTGTATTATTCAAGTTATAAAATATACTTGTAAGTGTTTGCCTCTTGATTTGTTTTACTCATGTCAATATAAATTCTAATGGGAAATATTTCTTATTTATTATTTTAATTTCGTACTGCCTAGTTACTACAATCTTTTAAAACAATTTAGAAGAACACACTCTTTTAAGGATTTGAAGGTATTAATAGACTTATATAAAGCTCTATAGATTTATAAAAATTGAATTAATATTTCATTTGAGCACTTTTAATGGGCTTTTGGCATCACTGTGTTATTTCCACCTCGTTCCTTACCGTCCGCAGTTGGAGCTCGCACTTGAACTGGAGCACGTGATCCTTGGGAGCCTCCACGGCGTAGCGACAGGAAGTTCCCACAGGATACAGAGCGGGGTAGTAGGGCGAGTTGATGAGAAGTTTCTGGCCCGCTTGCAGCTTCACCTGGTGGTTGCACTGCTCGAAGATGGCATTCGTCGAGGAAACTTTCGAAAGAGCAAGAAACAGCAGCCAAGACCACATGATCGCGATCGCGACGAAGTCTAAAGCGGCACTGAAGCGGCTCCACAGACGACAGCCTCTTAAGAATGATGGAGCCAACACCCAAGTCATCACGCGATCTGCCTACATATCCATGCGGGTCTCTCAACACCTCTGGGACACCCACGCCCCGTTCCTGCCTCAAATGCCGATTAATTAGGGTCTCGAAGAAATCCCAAATTGTTACCGCCGAAAAGAAAAGACGGCAGTCGGCACACGATCGTCTTTAGCGGCTAATTGAAAGAAAGTGCAAGTGTGTCAATCAAAAACTGGTTTTCGGAATTCGGAACACTTTGGAATTTGACCATAAATAGACTACTTGTTGGCCACCAGTTGGGGTAGGTCGCAGCTGAATGCTGAATCGGCGCCTAGTGTAATTCACACTTTGCATTACACAATGTTACAAATTAATAAAATTGCAGACAATAAACATTCTCCTCTGTTTATATATATTTTGATTAATTTCCGCCAGTATCATCTCCTAAAATTTATTTCCTAATACACTATATTCACCAAACAATTTCTATCACTTTTGCTCTTATGTTAATTGCTTAATTTTCAATTTCCTATTATGTCACGTGCAATCCTCGCATACAGTCATTAGTTCCAATTCCCCGAGATCCCTTTAAAGTCGACAATTTCGCACCCGTCGTTCCTGCACCCGCCAGCCTCTCCCACCAGAACTCATTTTTTAGACCACTTTCCGAGCTGCTTAATTGGATGTGCTCCATATGAGCAAAAAGAGCAGAGCACACAAGCAGCAAGACCAGGAGGAGCGAAAAAATGGAGCCCAAGCCGGCAAGTTTGTCGCCCATTTTGTAAAATAAATATCAGAAAAAAGGGGCATCCTTGGGAGGGACGACGGATGGCGCCGTGTCTGTCAGAGGCGCAGAGACAAACGCTTAATGCTAATATTATTTTCTTGCTTAACAAGTGATGAGCTACACGCGGGGCACATCGCAGCTCGGCTGGCCGGGATTTTCCCGGCAGTTCCGCGGACTTTGCCCACCCCACAGCTCGCCGCCTGCCTGCCTGTGACTTATTTGCACAAGCCATAAAAAATTTAACTTTATTTCGCCATTTTTAATTTCCTACTCCGCGGATCGCTACGTGGCGCAGCGCATTCGGCGTAAACAGTCAACGTTGGACAATAACTACGAAACCGGACTCGGACTCGGACTCGGACCCGGACTCGACCACCAGAGCTGGGTCCTAGACGCCCCATCTCCACCCAGCAGTCCGCGGAACAATGCTGGTGAAAAAGCTGATGCTGTTTTCTATTTCCTTTTTCCAGTTTTGGCCGGAGGAGCGTGTGGGGAAAACAAACAGCAAATAATTCAAAGTGGATACAACTAAAGCAAAGTCAAAGCTAATATACGAAAATGTAATAAAAATTAAAAAGAAATAAAAACGAATTAAAATGAGTTTCGAAGGAGCAGCAAAGTCCTTCTGGCACTATAAAAAATATACAACAGGGGCACCGAGGATCCCGAGGTGTGGGCTCCATGGGGTCCCCGCAAAAGCGACAGTTGTAGGACTTCTTTTTGCGCAGTGGTATGATGACACATGCGAGTGGAGGTCTCTGCACCCTTGAAAGGGTCGTCCGCGGGAGGAGGGATAAAAATATGTGACCATTTGAAGTATGCAATTTATAGGAGCGCATACTAAGCCCACTTAAATTACATAAAAGGCCAGCACAAGGCGGAAGCTGTTATTTTAACTTTAATTTACCTCCATGTATTAAACAATAGCAATCAAATCAATGAACGATTTCCATGATGTATATCTATACATTAGGTTTGAACTTACGATATGCTAAAATACAATTATTTTTAAATATATGTGCCTAATAAAATGATTGCTTTATTGTTGTAAGCGCAGAACTAAAAAATCATAAAACATGAATTACATTACTATAATCTAACACCAAAAAATTATATGAATATAATCTTTCTTTAAAGAACTTATTTTTATTTTTGTATTGCAATTTTTTGTAATATAGCGCGTTCTAGCGGCGAGTTGCAGTACTACAAGATCAATAGCTTATAAAAACGATGTATAGGTGGCGCCATGTGCCATGTGGAAAACGAAAGTACTGTCGCTGATAGAGGGCGCCAGCAAAACAGTAATAAGTATGTAAAATGTATTGTCAGAATTTGGATAACTATGTAAAGGAGTCTACAGACAAAAAAAAACAACTCGAACGTCTTCACTGGGAATATTACATTTAAAATTTCATTTAAAACCAAGTAAAATCAAAATAGTGTACTTATGTTACAATTTTTGATTAATTTATGTCACATTTGTGTAACATTTCACGTAAATTGGTTGTTTATGTGCTTAAAGAATAATATATTTAGCATCTTACAAATCAGCCTCGGTGTAGACAAATAATCTAACTCGTTTTCACAGTACAAAAAGAATGTTTTAAACAAAAAACTCGTTTTAATCGTGGTGCATAATTTGATTGGAAGCCAATATTTCTGTATTCCGACTTGGTTGCTACGAATTCCTTTTCGTTCAAGATAAGATGTCCTCCGTCATGGTTTAAAACAATTCCTTATGCATGTGGTGTATGTATAGAATCAGCACATTATATCCCCGACTCCTTTAATGATTACCTGGCAGCCAGGCCACTTCCTCTTCCCAGGCGTCCTGCTTGACCAGCACAATTAATTAACAATAGATTGTTTTGGCCACAGGGTTCCAAGTGACCCACAGGAAGTGCCTGGCAAGCAAGGAAGGAGCCAAAAGGATAGGCAACCATCATTCCGGAAGGAAGAAATGAAGCCAAGCGCAACAGTTGCATGAAGTGCGGGCACTTCAAATTAATAAAAGGAACTGCACACAACAATGGAAATGAAATGGAGGAGGAAAGGTCAGTCAATGGAACGTCCTGCGGAGAGAGAGATGCGAGCAAGTGCATGTAGTCCTGGCTGCGTGGGGTCCTTTCCCACAGGTGAGTGGCTGAGATTCTCCGGAGTTTCCACTGACCACTGACCATTGATCCTTTGATCAGGACCGCTCGGTGCAAATCTAATTAACGCTCCCCAAGAACAACGATCGATCTTCGGGGCCAAGGATTTGTTTGCTTGCATTGCCATTCGATGCGCCAATGTGAGCCCAGACAAAGGACTCTCATGCCCGAAGGACTACCTGCGCGTCCTTGAGAAACGCACTCCATAAGTGTGCGCGTATCAAATTACCATTTCATTTCAGTTCATTTCATTAGTTGCTCCGTTCTTAATTTTCCCATTATCGATTTTCTCGGACTACTTAGCCTGATTGCTGGTACTGAAATGCAAATGAAACCCGAACCATTACAGGCGCCCTCCGATTTATGGGACAGCGAACATGCTCCATTCCCGGGCCCATGGATTCCACTCCATAGCTGACCACCCACTCCAGACATCCATCGCCCTAATCCCAACTGATCTCTGGGCTAAATACCTGTTAACCTGTTTTCGAGCACAAACAAGCAAATGTTTCTCCCAGGCGAACAAAGGAACCCCCTGCCCTGCCACAACAAACGAGATTTTCTCAGCACCTCCTTTGGCCGATGATCTTATCGATGATGCGAGGGTGGGCCCTCATCAAATTGGTTCCCACAGGCCGTGGCCCATATTTTGCAATTTAGATTTCTATTCATTGTCTGGCCGGAGAATATCCTTTCTGCGTGCTGGTTGCCCCTATCCGCTCCTTTTCTTCCGCTCACCGGAAGGAAGTGCACGAAATTTGTGTGAAATGTCTCAAAGGCGGGCACAGGAAATTAGCAGAGAGCCGAAACATTTGGCTGTGAAAAGAAATAAAATTAGAATTTATGCGTTCTTAAAGTGGCCAAAGAAATAAATCATAACTAAGATCTCCAGTCTGCCCCACTCAACATAGTAGTTAACCAATGAAAGCATTTAGTTATAAACTTAAGTTTAGGCTAGATAATTTTATATACTCCTTAAATATTTGATATTTACAAGTAAACATGTGCTTGTATTAAATTAGGTAATTTTATTCAGTGTTCTAAATCAAGAGATGCAAAAATGCAAATAAGGAGCATTGGAGTCCGTGTCTAAAATAAAATGTGCCCCATTTACTGCTCTAAAAAGCATTCCTTGGGAACTTCTAGAGTTCCCTAACTCTTCCCGATCCCTCATCCTATCACCACGAACAGGACTCAAAGTATTCATCAAACTCACACCGAACAAAGCGGTGCTGAGCGAATTCCCACCGCACAACACAACACACACTCGCACCCAAAGACTTTCCCAGCCAGACACCTACAAATTCCCATAGCAAACAAATTTGACTTTTGCATACCTGTGCTGCAGGGCCAGGACTGCTGAACCTGTTACTCCTGCGGAGGAGCCCCTCCCCGAATGCATTCAATTCTCACGGCCAGCAACGGTAACACTCCAACGCACACACAAAAGGACATCCAACCCTGTGAAACAGGTTGCCATGGGATCGAGAATGGGAACCGAATGGGAACCAGAATGAGAACGGGACGATGACAAGTCCTGAAGTAGGCGCTTCGTTTTCGTTTCGTTTTTATTGATTCAGCTCGTTGATCATAATAAACGATTAGTGTAGCACTGGAGGATCCTTGCTGATCCTTTAGATTTTGCGCTGGGAAATTCCTCAATTTTTTATTGTTTTGTTATCCTTTTTGTGTGGACGTATGGGGATGAAACAGGGGCTGGGAAAATTAGTTAGTGGGTTCGCCCTGTGTTTTTTGGGCTGGATTTACAATTATCAACTGCTTATTTTTCCCAAATATTTTGATAAAAAACCTACTCAGCTTATCGGTAGATACTTATTATCGCTGCTGTCACTCAAAGAAATTTATCGTGAAAACGCAGCAAGCCTCTTTCCCAGAATTTTCCATTATAAATGGAAGAATGGCCAGACGAGCTTACATAACATTGCCCCATAACGAAGCCTTTTCCAGATTCCCAGAATTCGCAGATTCCTAGCAGGAATTCAGCGTGTTTTACGCAAATGTAAACACACTTTTTATGCCAAACAGGCAGGATTCCTCGGAACTATTGGCTAACACAGAACTACCTCTTAACTCTTAACTGAACAAAGCCCTTTTTAATCCCTGGAATTCGAACTGTTGACAAGCGCTTTTTACGCAAATCTAGCTGCGTTTTTTACGCAAAACTAAAAAATGCAGGGAGAATCGCGAAAAGGTTCCTCCGTTTCCTGGAAGCTTGGCTCAGCCCTTCCACCCGCCGGATGTCCCGATGTGCAAGCCGCTAATCGTCGTGCTAATGGCTTGAGGATGCAGAAGGATATCCTTGCATTATCCTTGCCACCCGCCGTCTTTATTGTGACCAAAACAAATAATCACCCATTGCTCATATTGTTCAATGCTCAAACGGTCTTTACGAGCGGCCCATAAAGTTATCCTTTCTTGCATCCTTTTGAGCCGCAGTTCTTCCTCGCAAGCAGTTCTGCCGTCAACTTTGCGCATCGCATCCTTTCGATCCCTTACTCGGAACTCGCTCGCTGGAAATTCGCCAAACCATAAACCGTAACCTTGAGTCGAGGACACTGCATCGCATAGTGGGAATGGGAGTGCCATATCCTCGTACATGAAGCCATTAGCGCTCCCATCAAGGTCGCGGATTTGTTTACATTGACTTGGCCGACAATTTAGCCGTATGTGCTCAGAGACATTAATGAGGAACCCGAAAACTAGAACGGCTCAAGGTCTGTCCGGATAAGAAGACTGTGGTTGTATCGAACCTGGCTGATAACCAGTGGATTACTTTCCGACAAACAAAAGGGCAATGTTTTTCACACGAATTATTAGACAACTTTTAAGGTTTAGATCTCTAAAAATGTTAAAGAACTTAACTTTCAGTTGCAAAGAAGTTATTAAATGTTAAATAACTTAACTTCCAGTTGCACAGAAGTTATAAAATGTTAAATTACTCAACTTCCAGTTGCAAAGAAGTAATCAAATGTTAAATAACTCAACTTCCAGTTGCAAAGAAGTTATAAAATGTTAAGTAACTCAACTTCCAGTTGCAAAGAAGAAATAAAATCTTAAATAACTTAACTTCCAGTTGCAAATAAGTATAAAATGTTAAATAACTTAACTTCCAGTTGCTAAGAAGTTATAAAATGTTAAGTAACTCAACTTCCAGTTGCAAAGAAGTTATAAAATGTTAAGTAACTTAACTACCAGTTGATGAAAAGTAATACAATTTTAAATAACTTAACTTCCAGTTGCACAGAAGTTATAAAATGTTAAATTACTCAACTTCCAGTTGCAAAGAAGTAATCAAATGTTAAATAACTCAACTTTCAGTGGCAAAGAAGTAATAAAATGTTAAATAACTCAACTTCCAGTTGCACAGAAGTTATAAAATATCAAAAACATTAAAACAAATTTCGTTACGTGCAGTTAATAGAGTGCAGAATTGAATTTCTGAAGCTTCAAATCCGTTGTTTTAAAATCTATTGTTTTCAAGGAAGTTAATGTTCTTAATCCAAGTTAACTGAGAGCCCAGAGTTGAAACGAAAATCTATACCTTTTATTAGATGCAAATCGATTCGAATGAAGCAAATAAAATGTTTTAATAATTGATCACGGGTGATTTGCCACAAACCCATGGGAGATCCCTTTTATGGCGCAATCTTGTTTCGCCTCAATACGAGTTTATGCCAAAATAAATGGGGGATTTGTTGCCTGCTGCTTTAGAATGAAACCCAAATTTACGACGTTTAGCTCGCTTCACAGGAACTGTAATTTCCCTGGCGAACTTCTTTTGTTGGCACAGCCTGAGATCCTAGCCAGTTTTCTCCCCTAGATCCCTGAGCACACGCTTCTGCCACATTCCCCCCACCCAAGGACGAGTTCCTTGTGCGCCGCAGCCAGATCGGGATTGTGCTGCCCAAGAAGCCGGAGAGTACGGAACAAAATGGCTGAAGCGTGGCCAGGAATACGGAAACTACGGAACTGCGGAACTGCAGAACTTTCACACGCGTTGCACACAACCAAGACTCTTTTTTTCGGGGTGTCTTGACGGAAATCTTGCGTTCAAGCAAAAACAACAGCTGCAAAAGCAAAGAAAACCCCGGAACAGGGAAAGGTCGTTGCGCCTCAGCGACCCCTGGCAACCTCCTGCCCCCTCCCGAACCCCCTTTCCTCGGCTCTGTTTTCCAACCAACCCCCTGATTGTACATTTCGCAAAAGATTTATCGAGACAAAGGCAAGTTACCAAGGGGTGGAGACTTCTGAGCTGCGCATGCGCAACAAACTTTTGCTCGTTTTTTAAGGAGATTTTCTAAAGGCGGCGGGGTGGAGTTGGGTCCATAGCATATGCATAAAAAGGTCTGCGCAGATATATGGGTTGTGCGCTGCGATGTCGTCACACGACTTGGCGCACACCTGGTCACGAGTTGCCATGCGATCCAGGCGATCCAGGCGATCCAGGCGATCCAGGCGATCCCTTCCGCTTCTGACCTCAGGCAAACTGGCTTCGATTCGTTCTGGCTGAGCGACATGTTAAATTAATAGTTTACTTATGTAGAACGAAGTCGTTCTAACAAAGCGCCTAATTGCTTTTTACTTTCCGCCCAAAAGGCGAAAAAACGAATTTTCCCAATCATAATCGCTTTATGACCCACCTACAAAAATCCCTCAAAGAAAGGGAGATTGTCAAAACACTGGCCCAGCCAGAGTCAGTCGAGGGCGTTACCTGCTTTTCCCCGCTTTTCCGGGAAAACGCGTTATGGTTTTATAGACACTTTTGCACATTCACCACGAAAACTGCAAAATTGTGAACCGTGCACCCCCAAGGTGGCATGCATAATGCGTTTATGAGTGGCCAAGGATCCCGCGTTCCTCCTTGCCCTCCTCCGTCTCTTTCTCTTCCGGGGAGTGTCCTTTTGGCCAACGGCGACACTTGCTGTGGTCAGCGATGCTCGGTTTTCGCCCTAAACCCCGCGTCCAGAAATCCCCGAATAGATAATTTGCTGGCAACCATGAAATGGTTAGAGAACTTTGCTCTGCCGCTGTGTTCGCCGGAATTCCGAGGCTGAGACATTTCACGCCCTGTATCCTTCGCAAGGATATGAGCTGAGTTCGCCTTTGAGTGCTGCCTTGAGTGGAGTGCCACCCTTGAGTGAGCTAAGGTATTTGAGTCAGGGTAGCTCTTAATGGAACGAGTTTTCTGCACGTTTAGATAAAATACCTTGTTGTGTTTTATTTTGATGAACATTACTATTTTATTGCATATGTACTACAAATTGTCATTCAATAGTATTAACCCCTTTATAGGATTTTGCATAATAGGGCTTTGACCATACTTTTTATAAGTTCTAGTTATAATTCTTAACATCTTTCGCAATTGTAAATAGCCTATCAATACCTAGTATAAAATACGCTTATTTCAATTATTTTCGAGAACGTTTCCATTTAATTCGTGAGATTTGATTTTTTTCAGCAGTGAAAAATATGTAAACCCAAGTGTCAGCTTTAAATAAATATCACTACGTACTGACAGTTTCAGTGACCCATCATATAATTTAGTTGGTTGTAGAGAAGATCTGAAATATTTCAAAAAACATATTGACACATTCTGTCAGATTCGAGACGTATCAGTGCTACCTTTCTCACAGATTCAGTGGTTCAGCTAAAAAAAGAATCTGGCCTGTCACTTCAATTACTACAAAATGTCCTGCAGGACTCGGTAAAAAAGGAAGAGCAGCTGTTGGAAGTAGAACGGAGTGGGGGAGACTGTGGCGCGTGCCAGGAAAAGAACACCGGGCCTAGGGCCCAAAGTAACGTTCGTTCCAGGATCACCGATAACAATTACTCAAACAGGACGACGCCGCAGCTCAATGTGCAACTGCAACCCCGAAGAGAGAGCTCCTTGCAGAGCTCAAGGAGGATCCTGTCGGCGCAGAGGGGACCCTCTTTTGTGCGGGATCCTTTGCTTCTTCGCGCATTTCCGAGCCGGGAGATTGCAGAAAGTAACGTATTTTCCTGCTCCTCGGCAGATGATAGCTTCCTGGCACGTGTGCCGCGTTCCCAAACGTCGCCCACTCCTCTCATTTCCGCTGTCTAATTCAGCCTAATTAAATCAATTTAATGTGGCTACACAAAACCATCATCTGCCCGATTGTAGCAAGAATAACAATAATAATGCCGCAGTCCCAACGTGTCACAATCGAAACCAGCACAACAGAAATCTGTGGCAAGTGCCTCTGCCTCAGCACCGCTTGCATCACCATTCACCAGCTATTTGAACATCAATTATGAGCACAGACTCGCACTGAATGGATGCTGATGCGTTTGAGGGGGTTCTTTGGAAAGGGGATGCTGGGGACGGGGCACCGACAATCCGGCCGACATCCACAGAGGATGAGCAGCACTCAGCATGCAGAGACATTCAATGGAGCAGGCCAGCACACAAAAAGAAAGGGTGGCACAAGCCAAGATGCATCACAAAGGCCGACCAGCAGTGACAGGGTCGTCCGACAGAGGGGATCCTATCTACGGTCCCACATGCCAGGTATTTGAGTGCCGCATTTTTTAAAAATCTTGAAAGCTGTCAAGATTGCTAATACAATTATTTAAACTCTCTATAAAGCATATACATAAAGAAATATATTCTTAGGTAGCCTCTGTTATATGCAAGCAAAGGGGTTAAGCCACTCGAATTTCTTATAAAATTATACAGCTAAGTATAACAAGAATGTCTAATAATTGCGCAAGGTGAACAAGTATAAATGGTATTTTTTAATATAAGTATAAATTGTATATTTTATACGTAAACTAACCTGAGTTATCCCTGATAATTCCACTTACGTATGCATATTCTGCTTAACACTACATTGCAGTCTCTCCGCTTTTAAAAGTATCTGGCAAACAATGCGGGTAGGCGATATGGCACCTATTAACATTAAACCCCCTTGTGGCACCACTGCGTTGCATCAGCATCAGCATCCCATCAAGCTAACCTACATTCAGGTCACTTGACGAACTGCCACAATGTGAGCAGACGCCATGCCCACCGCAACGCCCCTGCGACCCCTGGAAATGTTAGTGACCCAATTGGGTTTGCATAACCCAACCGGGGCAACTGTCAATGCCCAGGAAAATCTGTTCCCAGGGTCAGGATGGCAGACCACAAATCTGCTCCTCGCCAACTGTCCCCAATTACATGAAATTATACCCGAAATAGCCCTTTCAGTTTTGATTTTTTCCTCTTTGTCCTTTGTGGCGTCGCATTGTTGGCAGCGTTTAAGAGCCATAATTGTGCGGTTAGTGTTCTTGAGACCATGTGTCAAGTGGCCTGACAGATTGTGGGATAAATGGAACGGAATGTCCGAAAGTGAAGAAAAAGCGCACAAATCTGTACATTAGGAAGGAAACCCTACCTTTAACTGTGCCACATGCATTTGTTATCGTAAATGATGCAAAATGCCGTCGATATAAAAATCCTCGAATTATTATTATCCCAATTAATACGATCGTGGGGTAAATGATATATGAATTATTTGATCAGTTTCGCGTAAACAACTCAATTAAAATCCGAAGAATTCGAGGTCTTCCCACAATTGGAAACAAAACAATCGGAAACCAACAATGGCACAAAATCCACCCTCAAAACCATCTCAATCCGAAATATATTTTCACACCTTCGCAAATGAATTGCCAGATAGCGGGATCACCTGTGCATCAGTGCCATTCCCAGGATGTCGGGAATCGGAATCCGAATGTTCCAACTGTAAAAGGCACAACAAAAGCGAAGAGAAAGATTGGCGGAAAGCAAAGGGAAGTAGAGAGCGGATGTTGTGCACGCTTCGCGCGCAAGCGTAGCGGAAATCAGAAAAAGGACAATGAAAGGACGAACGAAGAGAATCGCACGGATAGCGGGTGAGGAAGTAGAAGTAGAAGACGGTGAATTAAATTTTACCGCTATGGGATCGAAATAAAGACAAACGGATGTAAGGCACAATCACTTCCGATTGCGGGCAGGATAGAGGACCACACGCAAACGGGCAACTCTGTCCAATCAGTATCTCTATATCAATTAAAATCTCTTTATGACAAAGTCATTAGTTAATTATTCTTTTTAAAAAAGAACTTCCATAGAAATATTAAACGCTTCTTCTCGATGCTATGGCTCTTAAATTAAAACGTTAACTGACCTCTGCAAATTGGTTGAGCTGAACGAGTGAGTGTATTCAAGGCACCCAAACAAATATGTGTCAGTTCCAACAAGTGTTTGTTTATCTAGTCGCGTCGTATAATTTATGGACCCAGCGGGCTTATCGACGCCCCGAAGAAGCGTTCCCACAAGTGTTGCATAAAGCTGATAGAACGTCTCGATCGCTGCCCGCACGATCTCAATATTTCAATTTATTTGTATTGTAAACAAGAACAAATTGTATGTATAGGAGCAATCATAAAGCAAAGGAAACCAACCGGGAAAGGCGCCCTTATCACTGTGACATTGAGTCGATGGGGGGCGAATGGGGGAAGCGGAAGGGCGATTGGAATGGGCAATGGAATGGGAAATGCAAGAAAACCAAACAAACAAACAAACAAACCAATGAACCAACCAAGCAGTCTATAAAAATCACTTCCCATTGCCATTTGACATGGAAGAACTTGTGTAAAGAAAATTTAAAACTGTGAACGGAAATCTCAAATAAAAATGAATTTAAGCGCTTGTTTGGGGACTTGTTGCTACTCTATAATTCAAGAAATGTAAATGAAAGTTTGTTCTCTTCCATACCCAATAAATAAAATTTTAGCAAATTATATGTAATATATCCATGAAAAAAATCGAAATATTGTTCTTCAAAAATAAAATGAATTTAAAAAGCACCAAGACAACCTAAACTTGTAATACCTTGAGCACCGTAAAATAAAGGGTAATGCGCATGCGCAGCGCTGCTGTTCTATCTCGCAGTCACGTAAGTGTGTCAGACTGATGTGGGTGTGTGTGGGAGAGAAGAGCGCTCAGTTTTCCTACTTTTTACTCTCTCTCTCTCTCTCTGTCTACAATGTGCCGGCTCGTTAGAAACGGTCAACATTTGTTTTTGATCTTAAGCGTTTGGCTTGGGCTTGCGGTGGTTACGATCGGTTCTTTTTCGCGTTTGACGTGCAGGAATGCCGTCCACAAGCGCGGCAGACGCAGTGACAGGGTGTTCCTTATACGCACGCACACACTCTCGCGAGATGGACGCCACATGCAGCTCACCCACAAGCGAAAACAAACGGGCTGTTGTTATTCCAGCCTGATATTCTCCCCACACACACACAGCACCCCTTCACCCCCTTCTCCAGAGACACCCCTGTGCTGTGTACTTGAGTCATCGTCCTAAAAACAACGCAACGCGAAACGAACTCCACTTTACCACACTCGAAAAAACGGGGGTATAGGCTTTTAAGGGGTCAATAAATTGTCGAGAGGTATTTGAGTAAATAAAATACCCATCACACAATAATGATCGCATCTTATTATTTTAATTATTAAATTATTTATTTTAAAAATTAAATTATTTTAATTTAATCAATACTATTTCAATGTGTATAAGAATATCTCAGAAAAAATGTCGGTATATCGAGACACATGTCACATAGTTTTTTTCAGTGCACGCCGCTCACACTGAAGCTTCTTCTGCTCTGGTGTTGCGTTCATTGATCGCCAAAGCCAATTGCTTCGAGTTAAGTGCTGCGTCAACGTTGTTGACTTACATACTCGGCACTCACACACACACACACACACACAGGCCAGCGTATCTATATCTTGATTGCCACCCCTCCTGCCGCCCACCGCCCACCACCCACCGTCCCTCTGCCCACTCTCGCTCCATATTTCTTCGGCGTCTTTCACCAATGGATTTTCATTTTACGCTTTATACGGCTCTAATTGAGTGCCTTTCAATTGGGTTATGGATTAATTTTTGTGCATAAATTAAATACCCATGCACACATGTCTCTCTATAAAGCTGGTGTCTGGGGCATTTAGAAAGCAATTTCAAGTGGAGAACCAGCGAAAATGCAATACTTTCATGCGGAAACAAGATCGGCCAAGAATTTAGTGGCAACTCTTGATACAATTAAATCTCGTTATCTATCAGACTTCCCAGAAGTAATGGTTTTATGATATGACTAAACTGAGCCTATATTTACATCACGCAAGCCAGTTTATCTTATCTGATATTATCTTAATTTTTTGCAAAATATAGCTCATTACTACCAACTGATGAAGCAGTACGAATTTAAGGTTTGCGATGAGTACCTATTATTTTAACCTAAATTGTGGCCACATGAGGCGAAGATTGTATATGTACATGTATTGACATATAGGGAGTGTCAGGGTTTTCGGAATTGCTTGAGTCGCATATGGGCAAGAACTACATAAAGGGTATTTCTTAATAAACGAAGAGCAAGACATTTTTAGGTTGCACCCACTGTTCGCGTTACTTATCACTGGTCCAATAAGCATCTACATAGCAGTGTACAGGGTAAGCACTTTTAATTGTTTGCGACGAGTGATTTCCCTATCCGCTTGACTCGAGCCACGTTCGCAGCCAACGCTCCTGGAGAATGACTCACCCATTATTAGCCATCGCCGTGCTCATGCACGCCGTATTTAACAAATTAGTCAGAGATTAGAGAAGGTAGCGCCGTATGTCCAAACCCATCGTCACGCTGATCGTACCCAGACGTCAGCCAAGCAGACCCCATAACACCCTGTTCGAGATCGCTCGTTCCGCTGCAGTTGAGTAAACAACGAAGTCAATATGGAATTCTTTTCGGTTTTTATGTAGTTAAACTAAGGAGAAGACTTTATTTTGTAAAATGCAAGAGTATATTTTGTTTCTTGATGTTTTCTGCTGCGGTTGCGGCTTTTGCCTTGCTGGTGTGTGTTCGGGTGTTTAATGACTTTATGCATAATAGGTAAAATACAATTACAATATCAATAGCATACGTTATACATGGGTTCTTTATTCGTTATAATTAATTTTAGGATCAATTTCGCCTCGTACTCGTACATTATGCTTAGATTTTGTTTGTGATTAGGCTTTAAGATACTTAAGTATTTTGCAAATACCGTTTGTTACTTGCCGCGATTTAATTCGTTTGCGTGTTCAATTCATTAGGCTAGCAATGTGTCTCGTCAAGTAATGCGTGGATATATATTGGTAAAATACTGCAACTGCTATGTGTTATATGTAACTTTATAGTATGTAGAAAACAAATGCAACGCCGTCGCGGGCCGATTGCTGTGCGAATAGAAGCCTTGTGGGGCGGCTGGCCCAACAATAGATATATTTATGCACTTTTCGAATTACTTTATGTGGTAGGAATAAGAGTTGGATACGCTAGAGGTTTCGTTTGCTTTGTTCTCGAGATTAGCGCTTAAGTATACGGGGAGCAGGAAGAATGGGGTTTTTGAGCGGGTTGACTTAGAACAGACCCTTCTTTTTCTTCTCCTTCTTGCCATCCACATTGTCCGTGCTGCTGTTGGCCCCCAGGCTGCGTCGCTTGAGCTCCTCGAGCGTCACGTGGTTGACATCCTCCCACTCCTTCTTCTCGCGCTCGAACTCACGCCTCTTCTCCTCCAGCTCCCGGATCTGCAGCTCCAGCGCCTTCTTGCGCTCCTCGTGTCGCCGCGCTAGTTCCAGTTCCGAGTCCCTGAGCTTCTGCATTTTCTCCTTGACCTTCATGTCGAACACCTGCTCCATCTCGGCTTCCATCTTCTTCATCTTTTGCTCGTGCTCCCGCTTCTCCTCCTCCATCTGGGTGAGAGGGTTCTTGTTGGACAGCCTGGCTTTGCCGTCCACCAGTCCCAGTTCCGATAGCTTCCGGCAGCGGTAGTTCTCGTAGTGGACGTTGTTCGTCACGTCCTTGAGGTCTTGTAGGTGCGTGCGTATGACCATGTTGCGCAGCGCTATAAAGTCGCAATGCGTCAGGTTCTCCACCTCGACCAGGCCCCAGGGATAACGCCTACCCCGCACCTTCTTTCCGTCCTGCTCGATGATGGTGTTGGCACCCACCACCGCGAATGGCACTCGGCTGCGCAGATTCTGCGTGGTCTTGGCTTCCTCGGCCGCATCCTCCAACGTGGCAGGGAAGTCGTAGATCTTAATCTTGTGCTGGGCGATCTCGTTGAGGATCTGCTTCTTGAATAGGTGCACCTCATCGGGCGTCATGGTGTCCGCCTTGGCGATCACCGGCACCAGATTCACCTTGTCCGACAGGCTCTGCATGCAGGCAATGTCCAGCGGCAGGAGTCCGTGTCCTGATGGCGCTATGAAGTACAGGCAGCAATGCACCCGACTGTCCGAAATGGTTTTGCGGTACACCCGCGACTCGGCGGTCAGGTACTCCTCGTACTTGCTGTCCACGTACTCCAGAATTGGGACCCAGCAGTTGCTATTGTCCACAGCATCGCCGAATCCGGGTGTGTCCACCACCGTGAGTGTCAGATTGACGCCGTTCTCCTTGAGCATCACTTTGGTGGCCTCCACGGCCACGGTCTTCTTTTTGCGCAGCGAGGGGCCCGGATACTGTTCCGCGTTGTAGATGTCCGACAGGAACATGGAGTTGATCAGCGTCGACTTGCCCAGCCCACTGGCGCCCACCACCATCAGGGTGAACTCGAATCCCCGCTTCACGGCCTTGCGGTAGACCTGATTGGGCAGGTTGGCGAAGCCCACATAGCCGGCGATCTCCATGGGCTTCTGGCGCACCGGGAGCGGTGGCTTCTGTGGCTTCTGCGCCTGCTGGTGCTCCTTCTCCTGCAGATCGTGGGTCAGTTTGTTCGAGTCGCCGTTGGAGGCGCCTCCGCTGCTGGTGTCCAGCTTGCCACTGACGGCCACTGGCACACTGGGCGGCTGATTGGGCGGTCGTCCACCGACTCCCACCAAGGACTCGCTGCCGCCGCTGCCGTTGGTGGCAGAGGACGCCGACGCCGATGCCGACGCAGCCTGCTGCTTGTCGCGCAGAGCCAGTTGGGCCAGAGTGCTGGGCAGAGCGGAGATGGCGCCGCCGCTGCCGCCATTGACCGCGTTTGAGCGAGGACTATTCATTGGAATAGCGCCAAATTCGCCTATGAGCCTTTGATATTCGTTCGCAGGTGGGCTTCACTGTATTTATTCACTTTGCTTGCACAGAACCGATGCTTTTTCCCCGCTTTTGTCACACCTACGCCAGCTCTTTTTCGCTCTTACTTTTTTTGCATTTTCTGTGTCAGAGGACCATTCACAGTAACGCGATAAATACTTCTGCTCCGCTCTCGCACGCAACAACAACGCCCCAGCTAAGGCGCAGTGTGACCCTCGAAAATACCGAAGAGAAGCCAGGAAAATACCAAACGAAGCTTGGAGTGAGAGCGCATGAGTAATACCACACATACGAACAGAGATACACACACGCACACAGGCGCAGCAATGCACATGCAAACGGGCAAAGAGGACTGTTTTCTGGTGGTCTTATCACTTGGAATGGAATGTTATGTTTAAAAATAGGCAATGAAACGCATTCATGTGTCCCTGCACTTGGGATTCCAGATTTCTGGCCTGAATGACTGCTCTTGAGTGGCCACGGATCGCATTACAATCGCCCCCTGATGCACAGGAAGAAATTATGCGTCTAGATGACTTTGACTTTTGTTTTAAGCAGGGGTGGACTAGTGAGGGGTTTTTTTTGACTACCTTTTGAATATGGGCTCTCTTAGAACATTTTCAAGGGGTCTTCTCTTAATAAAGTAGAATATGGTCAATTTTTATAGGGAAGAAGTTTCCAACGTTTTCGAATAAAATGTTTCTGTCCCCAACACTACACCCTTGACTTTTGTGGTTATGGTTCCTTTTGGTTTTTGTTGCAATGTTGCGCATGCCCGTGAGAGCAGCACGAAGCTGAGCTTATCTCTCTCGCTGAGAACTAAAGATGCTTCTTTCGCGTGGGTGTTGTTATTGTGACGCTGAGAACGCGACTTTCGCTTCTCTCTCACACTCTCGCTTGCGCCTTCCATAATTTCATTTGACTTTCTTTGGAAAGAAGTTTGTGAGCTAACTGACGCCCTTTGTGGGCGTGTGAGAAGTGCCATAAAAAGGAGCTGGATAATAACAGCCCTCTGTCGTTTGACCCGCTTCATGCTCGAGTGTCCTCGTCGAAAGTTCCCACACACGCCTCGTCCTGGCACCCTGTCCCCTCCCTCTTCGCGTCATCGCATGCCGATGCACACACGCACACGGACAAAGCCCGTTGATTGTGCGCTCTCCGTTGCTGTTTCTGTTTGTTTGTAATTTAAATTCTCATGCACTTCTGGCGATCGACACTGCGTGAGGGGGAGAGGGAGGTACTAACCACCACCATTAAGAGGGTCCTGCGTCCTACTCCGCCTGCCTGGTGGTGGTGGTTTCCTTCCTTACTTCCTTCCTTCCAGCCATCCAGCCTGCCTTGCTTCCGAACTTCCCCCTTTTGCACGTGGATTTCCACCAAACGCCGTCTGCGCGACATCAAGGTGATCGTGAGAAAGTTTTTTTCTCACATTATTCCACAGCGACTCCTGTTTTAATTTTAGCCTCTATCGGAATTAATATGCATTTATGAATTGATATGACTCGCGGTGGCTCGATTTTTACCCTAGGGGATGACTGTACTTATTGGAAGATTTACAGTTGATGTCGTTAGGGGAATAGGTAAATTGAGGAAACTTCAGGGGAATTCTGTGGCTACAGATTCCCTTGTTAATTTTTTTTTGTTATTTTTACTAATGTGGCTATCGATTGAATTTAATGCTCTGTACTCTTTAAAGTGTTGCTCTATACATATTAATGAATTAATCAACTAATATTTAATACTTTTAATATTTTTAACGATCCAAACACTTTGGAGAACATGCGAGATGTTGAGAAAGGGGATGTTATACCAGTCTTATTAACGTATCTTTACTTCTACCAAATATTTTGTTTTAATTTACCTTAGAGATTTATTTTTTTTGTACGAATAAACATTTTATATTATAAATATAATGAAACTAGAATGTCTCTATTGTCGTATCCACAAATACTAAGTGCATTTTACCCTTGCCATGGGGATACGAAACTAGATGTTTTTTATGACAGCTGCTAGGTTTTGAAATGTGCCACCGCAACTGCAACCGCAAATCTTCAGAGCGAACAAATCCCACCTAATCTCCCCGCAACCCTTCCTCGTGTTCATAGATTTCTGATCTTGAGCAGCTGTGTCGCATCAGGCACACTCCATACGAAATCCATTCGGAGACGCATCTTCTTCAATATTATGTAAGATGCTTGCCAGCAATTAGGGCCCGCTAGAAGCTAGAGGAAAACCCCGTGCGCCCCTGGAAAGTCAGTTTTTCTTAGCGCCGACCATTGTCCGGGCCAAGTCCATTGTTCTCATGACCCGAAGAAGTGGCGGGGGATGCAGCCGGGAGAATGGAGTCGGCAGATGTGCCAATCCTTGGCACGAGAGCAAGGACAGTTTAGTGCAAATGTTGGCTTAGGAGCAGCTGATCATCCAAGTGACCGTTACATCAGCTGGCATGGGTGTCCAATCAATGGGATCAATGATATGAGCCCATCATGTTACCTATTTAGGGTTCACCCAATAAAGTTGAAAGTGTTCCTGAAGTCCAATAACTAATGGTAACATACTTTTGCAGATATCAGCTTAAAGGGTTCAAAAAGTTTTTTTAAATTTAAAAAAAAAACGTATTTCAATAACTTGAAAGGCATTGCAACGCCATAATATTATTATTCAAGTGAAATGGGTTCCAATATGCCTGCGTTTTAAGTGGGAATACTCTATTTCAGTTTGACAATAGACTTTTTTTATCTCATAAGGAAATACAAACTTTAATTATTTAAGTTTTATTAAGTTTAATTATACTTAAAAGCGATAAAAAAAAAACAAATGCAATCACTGCAAGAGTGCCGACTCCCCTTTTTCGAGAGCGTATAAATTATACATAGCAGACTTCGTCTTTTGCTTTTTTGGGCGGAAAATACCTTTCCCCCTTTTTGGAGTCTGTCAAAAAGAACTTTCCAGTTATTAGCCCGACTCCTGGCTGGCCATTTATCAAATTTATAAAAACGAAATCTCCCACAGCAGGAAAAACAATCAAATATGAAGTTGGGCGGCCCAACCCGTCACGACTTCTAATGCCCCGCAGACCGCACACTTCACTCAGGTTTCCCCTCGCCGCTAAGCGCCATAAAAATCAACAAGGAATTCATTTAAATCAACATATATCTTGCCCAAAGGAGGAGTTCTATTCCTGCCCCGCATCGGAAATCCACTTGGGTTTAGTTCCGTTTGGATCAGTTCACACATTTGCTACCGTTTCATATTTTTCATGCTCATTATTTCTGGTGCATGCATGTGCATATATACATACATATATGTATGTACATATACGCGAGAGGTGCGGGGGCGTTGCAGCTAGCACACCCCAAGTAATAACTGCAGTTCCCACAGCTAAAAATACATACCCCCAAAGTCACTAATTTGAGGTTGAGAAAGGTCTCCATCTCCGTCTTAGTCTGCCGGTGCCCTCAGAATTGATTAAAAAAGATGGAAGTAGATCGTCACTGGTCGACAGATCGAAGCTCCCAGCCGACCGGGTGTACAATAAAAATTAAAGTGTTTTAATGTGTAAATCGTGCGTTGGGAACGACGCACCGAGGATCCGAGCCGGGAAGCCCCAAAAAGGAGGACTGGCAGACACAGTACAGATACAGATACAAGCCTGGCTACCGATCGGCAGCGATCGTGCCACACTAAATGGCGTTTACCTTGATCCCTGGGCCCGGGAATAAAGAAAAAAGGAGAGAACGAAGAGAAGCCACAGCAGCGGCGTTTGGGGCTGATATTGAACTTTGATTTCTGCCTGGTTTCTTCGTTATAGAATTTCAATTCTCCGTTTCTGAAGAAGCTCGGCAGACTCTGCACGTTTCGCCAGACGATTGATCCACATATGTCGGATGGTTCTGAGGTTTCTTCTCCCTGGCCCATGGCACTTTTACATTCTGCCAGCTCATCGTGCTTATTTCGGGTTTCGTGGGAAAATGTTTGCCAAATTTGTGGCGTTCAAAGGAGCCAAAGTGATCGCTATTAAGCAGGGTGATGTGCTCATCAGTGCAGAATTCAGCAGAACCCCATGGTTTAGTTGCTGTAGAGGGTTTAGTTGGTCAACCGTAGCCGTGGCATTTATTCAATTTACGAAAGTTGACATCAGATCAGTGCTGCAGAGCTTGTGCATGATGGATGATCACCACAGATTATTGCTCAACACGAGATTTGTGCTCAAGCCGCGAGGGATCACTTTGCATAACCAGGGTTGCCAGGCGGCGCAATACGTTTACGATCCCTCCCAAAAGTCCCCATCGGTCCATAGGTAGATCTACGTCAGCTGTCAGCTGGCGCATGACCCGCGTCCATGGTTATTGACAACTCCTTTGGTCTTAATCCTGCCAACATCGTAAAGTAATAAATTTGCCTGAAAAAGGAAAATCTGCCGGGGATCGGCTATAAAAACTGGCATAGTCAGGTAAGCTCCGTAATGATTGACCCCGACCCTGAGTCCCAGACCAAAGACCGATCCAGGTCCGATTCCGATCCATTGCAAGTCGCGATTACGTCCCGATCCCAAGCAACCCCCTTAAGACGCTCCTGACGATGAGCCGGGCCAGGCAAAAGCGGAGAATTCGAAACTAAGGATTTCGCCTTGCAAGGGGGTTGGGTTGTCACGGGGGTTGCGGCAGCTGCGTCGAACAATTGCCAAGGAGTTCTCCTTAATGAATTGCAAATCATTCGCTGGGCATTGATCAAGTTTGTCCTTGCCAAGGGTGAAATCTGTGCGACTAGATGTGCCATCAGCCACCCAAAAGAGAAACGGTCATATAGAACATCTGTCGCGAATAATGCTGCTGACTGATAATTTATAGAAAACCTCAGTTGATACATTTTTGCTCTTCCAAAGTAAATACGAACTTCAAATATTTAGGAGAACTAGTTAATATTTCTCTGAATATCGTTCACATTTTTGTTAAAAGGCACCATTATATTTAAAAAAGACATCGAGGTTTTTTCACTGTAATGTAATAGGTTATACTATCTATTTCATATGACTATTGCTAAATAATAATGTTAATAAAATATAATTTTTTGATATTAATGCTGAACTTCCCTTACAAGCAATGCTCGCTGCATTTTAAAACTTAAGAACACCTACATTTGGGTTCGTCAAGCGAAAGGCTAATGACTTGGCTTACCCAAATGTTGTGTTGTTTCTCGATCGGCTCGAGTTAGTCTCACTTACGTGAGCTAAGCTCCTATTTCCACTAATCCCCTGGATTCCGCAATTCGTTGACTCGACAACTCTGCCTGCCTGGAAATACCACTCACTCGCTCTCTCAAATCTCACTCCAAGTGCGCGACTCATTGGGATTGGGGTGGTTCTGCACTCACTCGCTCTCCGTTTGAGTGCAATTGCGCTGCTGCGGTGAAAAGTTCTCAGTCTGCGGACGGCGATCGTTGGGCTGCCTACCTGCCTCTGCCGCTGCCGGCGTCACTCAGGTAAGTGAGTCCCTCGGTTTCACTCGGGGACTCGTTTCGGCTTCACCTTCGCCTCGATTCGTTTTTAGCCGGTGCCCGTCGACTCGGAGGATCAGTATCCTTTTGGCATCTCGCGAGCGCGGTCGTTTGCCGCTCTCCCTCGAATGAACATTTAGAATACAACTATTTCAAAACCAGAACGATCTTAAACGCGTACCGCTTGTTAAGTTTTTGTTGTTCGGACATTACTAAGAAGTACGTGCAATAATTGTTAAAACTAATCTCGAACTCGAGCCAAAGTTATTGTGTTGTGAAAAAGACCAAATCGAAGCAGAACCTTCTTGGATTATCTCCCACTTGGATATACAAATTAAAATCGTTACAAAATGGATTACAAAAACGATATTAATTCGGACGACGACTTCGACTGCTCCAACGGCTACAGCGATAGCTATGGCTCCAATGGACGCATGTCCAATCCCAATGGATTGTCAAAAGCAGAACTGAGAAAGGTGAGTTCGTTATTTTGCATGCTGTTTAATAGGTTTGGTTCGAATTCTATCAAGGGTTACTAGTTTGTTTAACATTCGAACTTTCTACCTTTAATGATCAAGAAAATGTACAACCTAAACAATTTTGTAAATCAAGTGAAACGGATATTTAATGTAATCAAATATATCCCTAAAACTGAAATAAATTCCTACGAAACTAACTAATTGTGTTCTCCTTTCTTTGTTAGACAAACAAACCGATTATGGAGAAACGTCGCCGAGCTCGCATTAATCACTGCCTCAACGAACTGAAGTCCCTTATCCTGGAGGCGATGAAAAAAGACGTAAGTATCTTGCCCGAGAGTCAAAGCAGAAGGCGAGCAGTCCGCCCGCGAATTAGAAACTAGCTCCTATCCGTATCTGTTGACTTTCTTATAAATTATGTCAGTCCATAAAAAACCCTTAAGGCACAAGTGTCCGAAGGGCGGCAAAACTACAAAAGAACAAAAAACTATATAAAAAACCAACTCCTACGACACAAGAACTGAAAAAAAAACACAAACCAAGGGCTCTAATTGAGTATTAAATTTTATTGATGATCATTACACGAGAGCGCCGACGAAGAGTCAGTCAAGAGACCAAAAAGTGTTAACAAGTCGAGGAATTACGCAGAAATCGCCGGAGATGCGAAGGAAACCAGTTTCCAAGGAGTGATCCTGCTGTGAGAAACTACAAAGCAGAAATCAAGTAAAATTTGCCGCCGCAGAATTCTGCAGGAGAGCCGGACCAAAAATCAAATAAGAAAGACATTGAGGGAAAAAAGCAAAAGTAAACAAAAGGTTCAGACAGGAGAGCGGGGGAGATTGAGGGGGCGGGGCTGGCGAGCGACCTGCGTGGGAACCTTTTGCTATATGCAGTCCCAGCGGGGAGAAAGGGACAGAGAATCGGGGAGCGAAGACTGGAGAAATCGCACTGCGCGAAAAGAAAGATCAAGAACATTTTGAATTCTTCTGTGACCCAAAATTTGTATATTTCGAAATCCACAAACATTTTCTTTACAAGTAGATCAGCGACTAGGTTAGATTATAACCGTATATTGAAGAAAGCCACTTTCCCAACATCGGTAACCATTACCACGGAAATTTGATTCGACGTACCCTTTTTTCCCAGTGTACAGTAGCAAGATCAGTCGTTCTTCTCGCTGGAGTTGCTGAATCTCACCTTGGTCGTGTGATATTTACAGAGTGGACTCGACTGAAGTGGACTGCAGATTACACGCGAATAGTTGGACATATGAGGCACGAAACGTGCTTCTTAACTTTGCTGTTTCCCAAGCCATTGAACTTGTTGTAGGGCCCCAAACAATTAGCCCGACCATCTCCCACCCCATCCCCATCCCCATTTCATCATTATCTGACTTTGGTTCCTTCGTCTTCTATACTTTTAGCCGGCTCGTCATACCAAACTGGAGAAGGCCGACATACTTGAGATGACGGTGAAGCATCTGCAGTCGGTGCAGCGCCAGCAGCTCAACATGGCCATCCAATCAGATCCCAGCGTGGTCCAGAAGTTCAAGACGGGATTTGTGGAGTGCGCGGAGGAGGTGAACCGCTATGTTAGCCAAATGGATGGCATTGACACGGGTGTTCGTCAGCGGCTCAGCGCCCATCTGAACCAGTGTGCCAATAGTCTGGAGCAGATCGGCTCGATGAGCAACTTCAGCAATGGATACCGTGGTGGTTTGTTTCCCGCCACTGCTGTCACGGCTGCTCCCACTCCGCTGTTCCCCTCGTTGCCGCAGGACTTGAACAACAACAGCCGCACGGAGTCGTCGGCTCCCGCCATCCAAATGGGCGGACTTCAGCTGATTCCCTCACGTCTGCCCTCGGGAGAGTTTGCCCTAATCATGCCGAATACCGGATCCGCTGCTCCGCCGCCGGGACCCTTTGCCTGGCCAGGATCTGCAGCAGGAGTCGCAGCTGGAACAGCCAGTGCCGCCTTGGCCAGCATTGCCAATCCCACACATCTGAATGACTACACACAGAGCTTCCGAATGAGCGCGTTTAGCAAGCCGGTCAATACCGCAGCACCGGCCAGCCATCCGGAAAACCTCATCCACTCACTGCCCGGGCAAACGCAGCTGCCCGTAAAGAACAGCACCAGCCCACCGCTAAGCCCGATCTCCTCCATCTCCAGCCACTGCGAGGAGTCGCGGGCTGCCTCGCCCACCGTGGATGTGATGACCAAGCACAGTTTCGCTGGCGTCTTTTCAACTCCGCCACCAACCAGCGCTGAGACCTCCTTCAACACCAGCGGATCCCTCAACTTGAGTGCCGGAAGCCACGACAGCAGCGGATGCTCGCGACCGCTGGCCCACTTGCAGCAGCAGCAAGTGAGCTCCACCAGCGGAATCGCCAAGCGCGACAGGGAGGCGGAGGCCGAGTCCAGCGACTGCTCCTTGGACGAACCCTCGTCCAAGAAATTCCTAGCAGGCGCCAGCGAAAAGTCGAGCTCCGCTTGGAGGCCATGGTAGATCTTCTGCATAGGCCACTCTATGTTACGTTTATACATTGTTAATTTATTTCATTGCAATTTTTTCAAAGGTCACTTCAATGCTTTAGAACCACATTAAGTTTCAACGATTTCTATATGTTTTTATGTATCCCGTTTCGCTTTCTTCATTTTAAGTTCAGCTGTGATTTTGTATATTTTTTGTGTAGTTCTCGTTTAAGCGCATTTTACGACTATTATGTAGTTCATTAACTAATTATGTTCTTTAATGTTTCTTTAACTGCGCAAGTATTTAAACAATTAAACGTGTTTCTATTTAAGTTATGTAGTTTTCATTGTATAGCGTTTATCATAGGGTCATTTACGTTTCTATTTTAGTATTTACTATAACGATTGTAATTTTAACTTTTAGGTAATGCAAAATTCGATGGAGTGAAAATAATGATAATAAAAGACAAAACAAACAATCAATCGACATTAAACTGTTCTTGGGTACTTAACTGATTAGATTTTGGAAATTCATGATCGCATTGCTAATCTAGAACTTGAACTCATAGGAAAATCGGAAGCTGAACCAATACGGAATACCAATACGGAAACAGCCTTGTCATGTATGTTCGTTGCATGTTTTCTCAAAGTTCGATTGAAAAGATAACTCAATCGAAAGCTCCCAATCCATGCTATATAATCAGGTGCTCTAGGCACACATTTAGTGTGTGAAAAACCAAATTATTGCAACCAAGAGCGCGCAGTGACTTTCAGGCGTGCATTGAAAATCTCAGAAAACTCTGAAACAGTTTATTCATTCATTCCCCTCTTACCATGTTTCAATTGCTACTAACTGTGGCGATCCTGCCAGCTATTAGCTTGGCCGCTAGTCCTGCAGATGGTCTGCACAAGTACCGAGCCTCTCCAAAACTCACGGGTCCTGTAAAGCTCCTGCACGATCCCGAGGACACCATTCTGAACACCTTGGATGGCGCTCTGGAGAAGATATCCACTATCTACATGCAGGCCTTGTTCGCTGGTACCCACACCCCGGAACTAGAAGCTCCACTCAGAGCACTCGAAATGGAGTTGTTTGATCTACTGGACGAGCTCTATAACCAGAATCGTCTCAAGGACTATATAAAGTACGAGGCGGAAGTGACGCGACAAATGATAATCTACAACATGCTCAAGAGATTGTTTGGCTACACACAGGAAGTTGAGGCGGGATCTATCTGAGCCATAAATTCGAGATATATTTTATTTTTTAGGTATTTTATGTATGCAAATTAAAAGCAAGCGAAGACAATTTCAGTATACTTATATATAATGCTTTTCTTTTTTCAATATTTGTATACCCGAGGGTAGAAGGAAGCGTTTCCGACCCTGTAGATTCTTGATAAGCGACCCAGTGACCCCTATCCTGGCACACTTTTGCAATGTTCAATGTTTTCCTTTTTATTTTATTATTTTTTTCGCAATTTTTTCGGAAAAGAATTTTTAAACTTATTTCCAAGTAATGGGTATCTGACAGTGAAGGAACTGAATATAGCGTTCTCTTTTGTTCATTTGTAGGGCCTTTGCATTTATAAAAAATGTTAAATTGTACTGGATTAAAAAACTATTTTTTAACTACTGCTACTATTTAACTCCGTCCGTCCGTCTATCCGGCTGTCCGTATGAACGCCTCGATCTCAGGAACTAAAAAAGCTAGAATGTTGAGATTAAGCATGCAGCTTCCAAAGACATAGATGCAGCGCAAGTTTACTTCCAAATGTTGTCACGCCCACTCTAACGCCAAAAAACCGCACAAAACTGTCACAGCAACATTTTTTGTAAATGTTATATTTCTTTATTAGTTTTTTATTACACACCCACTTCTACGCCGACAAACCGTCCAAATCTGTCACGCTCACACTTTTAAAAAATTGTTAAGGTTTTTTGCAGTTTATTATTTTTTCCGTCCTTTCTACCGATGTTGCAGAAAATTTTGAAAATTCGTTAGCACTTCCACTAGTTGAGTAACGGGTATGTGATAGTCGAGGAACTCGGATATAGCATTCTATCTTGCTTTTTACTGACCTCAGCAAAACAATTTGGCTTACGAATCATCTGTGTTTGGTTTGACCTAAAACGATTATTTTGATCTCTGAATGAAAGTGATTGATTTACATCCTCATATCCCATTATTAATTTTTAGTTCCCCCTCGCCTGCTTTCCCTTTCGACCCTTTTTTAATTTTCTTCACCATTTGATTTGACTTCCGTAATAACTTCCGCAACAGCCTGTTCTCGTCCTGCGGCTGCCTTGCGTGTGGCTGTCGAGTGTCGCTCCGCCGTTTAGGGATTCGGATCCTGCAACATTTCGATCCCAGTTCTTCCCACACTCAATCATATCGGCGCTGCTGTTACCCGATCCTGCTGTGAGAATGGAACAACACCTTCGCCGAGCGATCGAAACTCCAAAATTATCATAATTTCCATTTCCTTTTACGCTATTATCCTTTTGCATTTTCCAATACCGTTGCACTTGTTCGTGTGTTTCCCACACATCCTTGAGATCCCTTATCTGTGCTTGTTTGCTTTGTGGTTGTTCGCATGTCCCCCGCCGCTGGCCTCCTTGCATTCCACTTGTCTCGCTGGATCCTTCGGTTTCATTCCTTTGTGCGCTGTTTGCTGTGTTTGCTGTGATTTGATGCTGGGATCGGAATCCTGTGCGTTTTCCGTGGGGTTTCGGCTATCACTTTTGTTTTTACTTTTGATTTCATTCTTGGGAATCTGTGTGGGAACGCGCACGTACCTACTTTCGTAAATGAGTTAGGCCATTTACCAAATTTTTGGACAAACTTGTTTACCATTATTAACAAAAATCGTCTTAGCGCCCCCCTTCGATCTTTGTCTTTGGGACTCCGGCATATTTAATTGTCATTTAACAAATTAACTTGCCAAAAATTCAAAAACTCTGGCACTGATTTTCCCACAGACAAATTCCCCTGCATACAATAGAGTTATTCGTACGGAAAACAAAGTCATGCGGTGTTTCGCCGGAACTCTCCCACACACACATTTTGAATATGCCCCTGTGATCCTTTTCTGCTGTAAGAAAAGGATGAAATGTATCCCGGCTACCTGTGCATCGGCAAATTCAAATCGGCTGCGTTTCTCACAGCCAAACAGAAATAGGTCCTGAATGGACCCAGCTATCTGCGTTTCTTGGGCCGATTTGGATTTCTTGTGGGTAACAAGTGTATCTATCAGTATCCGTGAGATGGTCGTGGTTGAACAGCTTTGCGCAATGGGAAATGTGGAAAGGTGCTTCCCTTAGTTTTCCCAGGATATGAGCGCGGTGGAAATTCCTTGAGAAAAAATGCATGATTGCGGCATTATTATTGTTTGAATTTTTTTATTTTAGTTTTTCTTACTTCGCCTAAAAGAAACACTCCTTAGCTCTATTTATTGCGAGTTAATGCATATTTATTATATTTTTACAGTGTTTTCTTGCGTGCGTTTTATGTTGCGCGTGAGTTAATGGATTCGCGCTTCGCTTAGCTAATTACATACATCATTATCTGTATCAATATAATTTTTACATTGTAAAATTGTTAAAATTTGGCTTTAGTCTGAGCATTATTTTTACAGAATATCTCTTTCGGTTTAGGTCGATTGATTTAAAAATCGTGCAAACTAAATAATGCTACAAGTATGTAGTCATAAGTATTCTAGATGTGTGAAGTATTCGGTGATGAATTATTCCTAAGAAATTTGTTCGTTAATTGATATATTCTGGATGTGCTGACGTTGTTTGTTCGTCCTGGCTTTGTGTATACTTAATTAATTTAAATGCATATTTGGTCAATCTCAAAAGACGATTTCGATTTCGCCCGCATTCACTAATTGGCAAATTGTTAGTGACTGCTCGAATGATTCCTCCGTTTAAATGTTAACTAGGCTGCTTGTGGGCAATAAATGTATAAACTATGTACAACTTTCTCTTCAGCTCGCGAGCTACAACTAAATCTACCAACTACAAAATTTACAGATCCACAAAACGTTCCGGATATACACAGATTCAAGTATATTAAAAATTCATTTATCAAAAGGCGCTTGTAAAACGTGTAAGCAAATAAAAAATATAAGGACATCGTTAGGACATAACAATGGGAGCAAGGCTGCCCGAGTTATAGCTCTTTGGACGAGAGCTGAGGACAGCCCAAAATTAAAATAATATCAAAAACAATAGAAGGAAACAAAATATACACAAACGTTTACAAAAGTTCGTTATATGGCTAAACTATCAGTCCATTGTTGTTCGAGTTCAAAACATTATTGAGTTGGGATGTGGATGTCTCCATGTACGACTGCGCCTAGCTCAGCTCTCGGTTGCAGTGGGTCAATCATCAGAGGATGTCCGGCGTGTGATTTTCGTCGTGCGTGTGCTGCAGCAGCCCCTTTCGCTCGTCCGGAGCCGTGCTGTGTGTTATTTCCGTGCTCACTGGCTCCGGAATGGCATCCGCGTACATGGATTCGTACACCGGATTCGCAAAGTTACCCTGCGAAATAAACTAGAGTTAGTTGTGGTAAATAGCATATGTACGCTGTGGACAATTAAGTCTTTGAATTATAAACATAATAAATGGTTAGAGCTAAAATTTTGCATAAATGGTGAAAATATCTACTCACCTTGTCGTCTTCACTGGCGAATGTTGGCGCCTCATCTGCATCCCCGCGATACATGGCATTGGTTAGCATAATCTCCACGTTGTCCGTCAGTCGAGCGTGGGAGAATGGCTGGGCTATGCGATGTTTCCTGTGTAAAAAGCGTGGATTAGATAAGCCAAATAAATCGTATTAAATATCACCCACTTGAGGAAGTAAACTGCACCAGCGAACAAGGCAAGTACGAGAAGAATCACCGCCAGGACCACGACCAGCACAGAAAACACTCCGCCCGATTCCGTGGACTCCTGCTCACCCTTTAGGGCATCGGCACTGTCCGACAGACAGGGCACCACCCTGTTGATCTCACACAAACACTCGTTAATAGAGCTTCCTTGACGACAGACGTTGCACTCGCCTCCGACGCAGTGAGGCGGCATCTCACAGGCATTGCCCTGCCACTCTCCAATGCAACTGCAATGTGGCAATCTATACTCGTCCAGATGACAGACGCCGCCATTTGCACAGTACCGGGCGCAGGGATTGTCATCCGCGACGGGTATGGTGCATAAGTCTCCATTCCACTGGTCTGTGCAATTGCAAAGTGCCACGCCCTTGATTATATGACAGGTTCCCGCATTCTGGCATATCATTAGCGTGCAGGGATCCCTAGTAGGCACCTTGGTGTTGTCACAAAAGTGCGGTGGACTGGAGGTTTTGCAAAGATCCGATTCACAGCTTTCGCCGATGTAACGCGGCGGACAAGTACAACTTAATCGACCATCTCTCTCAGAGCAAGTTCCTCCGTTGCGGCAGAAGTCATGGCATGAATTGGACTCACAATGCTCGCCGAAGAAACCACTGGGGCACTTGCACTGCCGTTGACCCTTTGTGCTGATTACACAGGATCCGCCATTCTTGCAAAAATCGGCGCACTCGTTGATCTCGCATCTCTTGCCGGTAAAGCCATCCGGACACTCGCATTGTGGGGTACCCGTTAGCGTTTCCCTGCAGATACCGCCATTTTCGCAGGTTAGACTCTGACAGTGCTCGCATTGCTCGCCAGTGAACATTTTGGGACAGCTGCACTTCATGCCTTCCGTTTCGGAGATCAGGCACGATCCTCCATTGTGGCAGCGGCTCTGGCAAGCAGGCATGGAGGTCTCGCATCGTGCCCCCGACCATCCTGCTGTACAGGTGCATTTTAGGGGCGGCGGTTCTTGGGATCCCGGCAACGCTGGCGCAACAGAACACACCCCGTAGTTCTGGCAGTAGCCGGAGCACCGATAGTGCTCGCAAAGCTCGCCCTCGAACTGCGGCTGGCAGATGCACTTGGGCACGTGATCCACGATCTTACAAGTACCCAGGTTACACTGCAGAGGACAATAGTCGGGTATATCCGAGTGCGCCTTGCAAACGCCATCGTCGGTCATCACATAGCCTTCAGCGCACTTGCAACTGTACCCAACGGACGACTCCGAGGAGGGAATGCAAAGAGCGCGATACGACTTGCAGGGATCCTTTGCGCAGGGATTGCTTACTAGAAGTAATAATATTTAAGTACTGTAGGAAAGGAACATGAAA